AATATCTTGGAATTCTTAGTGGCCCATTCTCTTCGTACCTGGTGCACTAGCAAATCTGAATCACCAATTACCAATAGCTCCTGAATATTCATGTTAATTGCCATGTTGAGTCCTAGTATGCAGGCCTCATACTCTGCCATGTTGTTGGTGCAGGAAAATCTAAGTTTAGCGGATACCGGATAATGTTAACCTGTTTCTGATACCAAAACTGCTTCAATGCCAACTGCTTTGAAATTTGCAGCTCCGTCAAAGAACATCTTCCAACCGTCATAAGCATTGGTAATGTCCCCTTTTACTAATGATACCCCTTCATTAGGAAAATACATTTTCAAAGGTTCATATTCTCCTCCAACCGGGTTTTCAGCAAGATGATCTGCTAATGCTTGTCTTTTGACCGCCTTTTGAGTTACGTAGATGATATCGAACTCACTTAACAGTATTTGCCCACTTGGCCAGCTTTCCAGTCGTCATGGGTTTCTAAAATATATACTTCAAAGGGTCCATCCTGGATATGACGTATAAGGTATAGGCAAAAAGTAATGCCTCAACTTCTGGGCTATCTAGGTCAAAGCACAGCAAGTGCGTTCCAGCAGAGAGTATTGTGCTTCGTAAGGTGCGAATTTCTTACTTAGGTAGTATATGGCTTGCTCCTTCCTTCCTGTCTCAACATGTTGTCCCAGAATGCATCTGAAGGCTCCATCCAACACAGATAGATAGAACAGCAAAGGCCGTCCTGGTTTCGGTGGGACCAGAACTGGTAGTGTGAACAGGTACTCCTTGATCTTGTCAAAATCTTTCTGACAATCCTAGGTCCAGCTTGTCTTGACATCTTTCCTCAAAATCATGAAGATGGGTTCACATATGACTGTGGATTGTGCTATGAAACGACTGATATAGTTGAGATGTCCTAGGAAGCTCATCACATCCTTTTTGCTCCTAGGTGGCGGTAATTCCTAAATAGCCTTGACTTTAGACGGGTCTAGCTTGATCCCTCGACGGCTGACGATGAATCCCAATAACATTCATGCGGGAACCCCAAATGAACACTTTGCGGGGATCAGTTTCAAGTTGTACCTCCTTAACCTATCAAAGAAATTTCTCAAGTCTGCTATGTGATATGCGACCCTGTTGGATTTGATAATGACGTCAGCCACGTACACCTCTATTTCCTTGTGTATCATATAATGGAAGATAGTTGTCATGGCTCTCATGTAAGTAGCCCCAACATTCTTCAGACCGAATGGCATCATCTTTTAATAGTATACCCCTCATGGGGGAATAAAAGCAGTTTTCTCCGTGTCTTCTTTGTCCATCCAGATCTGGTGATAACCTGCGAATCAATCTATAAAAGATTGAGTTCATGTTTGGTGCAATTATCGATCAGGATGTGTATGTTTGGCAGTGGGAAGTCGTCCTTGGGACTTGCTCTGTTTAAATCCCGATAGTCAACACATACTCTGACCTTACCATCTTTCTTCGGTATTGGCACAATGTTGGCTAACCAAGTTGGGTACTCAACCACCCTAAGAGCTTTGGCATTGATCTGCTTAGTAACCTCCTCCTTGATTTTCAGGCTCATATTTGGATTGAATTTTCTGAGTTTCTGCTTTACCAGTGGACAAATGGGATTAGTAGGCAACTTGTGAGCCACTATGGACGTGCTCAAACCAGTCATGTCATCATATGACCACGCAAAAATGTCCTCATATTCCTTTAGAAAATGAATGTATTCCTTGTTCTCTGTTGGCGATAAGTAAATGCTGATGCGAGTCTCCTTGACGGTCTTAGTGTCCCCCAAATTTACTGCTTCGGTTTCGTCCACGTTGGACTTAGGATTATTCTCAAAGTTTTCAACTTCCCGGACAACTTCCTCAGGTATTTCATCTTCTTCATCAGAATCACTCTTCTCATGTTTAGTTGCCCTATTACATATCACAGTCACCGGTTCATCAGGAAAAGTAACAATAACGTTGTGGAAAGAAAAATATGAAAGATAATAATAAGTAAGAAAAAGAGCAATGCATTTGATTAATACTTAAAACATCCAAACGTGTACGGATCGATGAATCAAGCATTTATTTTGAAACAAGTGAATCTTAAAAACAAATTACTGAAAATCTTAAATACCTAAAATGACTATAGGAATAAAATCTGCCAAGCTACCCAGGGACTCAGCGGGCCCGAGATGGTGTGGCGGTCCAGTTCCTGAGAACAACTCTTTTCTCCATAATCTGAATAGTGAGGACTTCTTCCTCCTCCTCCTCAATTATTGCACACCAGTCCATGTATTCATCCTCCAAGAACAGATTCCTCAGGCCTGACGCTTCTTCTTCTGCAGTTCCCCATATGGTGTCAGCATGGTGAAAAGTCTGATCCAAATGTGGCACTGGTTGCTTGAGAGGGTAATAAGGTCCACGCCATGGACGCGACCAATCATCATACTCTTTCCATGTATATTGATATCCGAGCCCGAAGGCAGTACCGTGACGCTTCAGCTGTATTGGCTTAGTAATACCCCGGAGATTCTTTCCAAGCCCTTTGCCGGGTTCATACCCGGACCATGCCAATATGCTTTCTATTTTGCTACTCCACCATTTTTCCTTTTCAACGGCATTGACACGTTCGATGTGATGATAGGTTTCTCCTCCTAGCCTTCTTCTGTATCCAATAACCGGGATGGTGTGACTGGTGTAAATAGGATTACTCCCCTCTCTGTAAATGATCACTTCCTGATGGTTCAATTCGAATTTCACGGCTTGATATAGTCTGGAAGCCACAGCCCCAGCGGCATGTATCCATGGTCGGCCCAACCAAAGATTGTATGCGGTCGATATGTCGTGCACTTGAAATTCAACGTCGAACCAAGTTAGCCCCATCTATAGACAAAGATTAATTTTCCCAATCGTGGCCCTTTGGGACCCATCGAAAGCTTTCACATTCATGCTCCCTCCCTGTATTTCATGGAAACCATTGCCTAGTCATTTCATAGATTCCAACGGACAAATATTGGGGCTTGAACCTCCATCAACCAAGACCCTGACAATGAACTTGTCTTCAAATTGCACTGTGATATGCAATGCTCTATTGTGATTCAACCCTTCAGGTGACAACTCATCTTTGTGGAAGATTATCTTATGACATTCCAGCACTTGCCCTATCATATTGGCCATCTCTTCGCAGGTGATATTTTTTATGACCCAAACCGATGGGCCGCGACGAGTGCCTAAGTCCTACCTGTCAAACACACCTAAGCATGCGTCTAAGATATGAATCTGAATAAAATCTACTGAATTACGAAAAATAACATATATGAAAGAAACCTGCCAACAAGGCATATGTACGTATACATGCAGGTTGCTGACTTGAAATGTATTCCCTACTCTCCAGGTGGGCTCTTGACTGCTGATTTTTTTTTCAATCCGCTAGGCAAGCGCCTAGGGCTATTTTTTTATTAATGAAAAAGGAAATACAAATGTCTTGATGTCCTACAAAATGTAAAGCATAAACTTTGTAAAATACATATACCCTATTATCAAATTGAGTAGATCACTCAAACTTGATATCACAAGTATTACTAATCATTGTATAATAAAATTAGCCCATGAATTAAACACTGAATAGTAGTTCCGCATTGTCTTTCAGTCCAAACGAAGCCTAGTTCATTTGATTTTTCCTTAGATGTCCTTCCTGTTTCTGCACGACAATGTGTGCATTGGCCATTGTTTAATCACTGGGCATTATTTAATTACAGTTGTCGTCGAAAATAGAGCTGGAATGTTCTCCAAATGCATCCATGACTTGTCTGGCATAATGTCTCAAACGAGGCAGGCGTGCATCCAGTCAACCTGCCTTAATATGCATACCCGTGCACGGACGTGCTGCAATCCAGATTTTCTGGAGTTGCACAATTGAATTGCATGCTTAAATTTCCAATTGATTCCCAATAAAATCTTGCAACGAGGAACAGGCGTGCATTATTCTTCTAATTCAAATCTTTTTTCTGTCCCTATTGTTTAATGGCTAAAAGCCTCGTTGAACCATCGAGAACTTTAAGCAATAAACAATTAACATGCTGGTTGCACAACCAGTGCTTTTCTGTAATTGTACCAGACGAGCCTGCAACATTGGGACAAACTAAAGTGGAAAGGAAATAATTACCTTTCCATGTAGTGCAAACTTTTCCATTGCATTTCAAAAAGAAAGCTGGTGCAAACTCCATTGTTACTGTCCAGACATCCTTTTGCACCTGCTTCTTATAGGTCCCCTCTCTTGTAGCTACTTGACTGAGTACTCTCCAGCATCCAAACATCTTGAAGCACGCTTTCATATAAAAATGCTAGAAGCCTGTGTGGATTACATGTCTTTGATGAAGCATGCGTGCATTTTAAAATCAACAAAAACTGCATTGTCCTTCGTATCCATCTCTTCTCGTAATCTGGCGAGCTCCATATGCTAAAAGCTGCTTAGGATTTTGTTTAATGTCCATATTCTCCTCAACATTATACACTTGTATAGCATGTTGGTTGTATATCCAAGGAATTGCAGTCACGCGAGCACCCCACGCGAGCATCCCATGCTGGATGTGTTTCCAATCCCATTAGCCTTTCTTGTTATGCTCGATTATTGTAGTGCTTTTGTTCTTTAGCAGCGGTTGTCTCGAAATGTTGCAGAAGTGAAAGCCTGGGCATTCTGATCCTATGTTCCCTGCTAGTCCATATCATGATATCTCTTTCAAGGGATTGAGTACCATGTACTAATACCACCCATTGAAATTGACAATCATGATAAGTCATTTCCACATTACCAATTCCGGCACAAAAACACCAAATGTTAGCATAACAGAAGATCATCAAGATCTCTTCCCATAGGATTGGACCCTGCTGATCAGTTATGTCCAGTCCTTTTCTCCTCCTCAATTTGCTTATGTTCCACTCCATATTTATCTCCTTTTTGGCTTTGATCCTTCCCCTTGTCCTCCTAATTCCTTGCAAACTTCACCCTTATGTAAGGACATTGCATCCTATCTTCGTTAATAATCCTCCTTCCTTTTGAGTCCATATCCCAGAAACCATAGCATTCAGTATTTCTNAACCATGGCATTCAGTATTTCCTTCATCTAGAGCATAATTGGCAAGGTGGTCTGCTAATGTATTCCCTTCTCTGAATATGTGTGTGACCTTAATGGTACTTTGTTCCTTCATCCTTAAAATCTCCTCTACATGTTCAGTAATATACCAAGGAGGTTTCCACGATTCCTCTATAATGTTCTTCAACAACATAGAATCTGTCTGCAGCCATATCTGGTAATAATTAAGATTTTTGCACATCTTCAATGCCTCCACAATAGCTACTGCTTCTGATTCATTGTTGGTTCCTTCAGAAATCTCCTTTCCTTCCGCATATATCAAATCACCTGCCTCATCCCCTATGCAGAAACCAATTGAGCTCCTTCCTGGGTTCCCTCTACATGCTCCGTCCGTATTCAATTTGATCCATCTTGTTGAAGGAAATTCCCATAAAACTTTATCATATTTCAGTCGTAGTGTGTATTGCTCCATCATTGTCAGTAAGTCCAGCCACTTGTGAGGCACACGTAGTCCAGGCTTTTTCAGTTGGACCAGAGATTGCAAAGTAGATGACACCTGGTAAATAACTCTGCTCACTAACACTGCTTCTCCATATTTCAAACTGTTTCTTCTCTTCCACAGTTCCCATACAATGCATGTAGGTAAAGCTTGTAATACTGGCTTCAATCTAGGGACAACTGCTGCTGTCCAACACTTTGTAATTGCTTGATGTAATGACAACCCATCTAATGCAATTCCTGCTCTCCTCAGGAAGTAACTCCAAACACTTGTAGCTGCATTGGATGTGAAGAACAAATGTAGTAATGACTCCTCCTTAGGATCAGCACAACACCAACATTTAGATGGCATGGAGTATCCTAGTTTACGCAAGAAATCATCAAGTGGCAGTTTGGCTTTCCACACCTTCCACAGGAAGAATGATATCTTGAAAGGTAAACCTTTTACCCATATCATCTTGTAAGCTAATCTTGGGTTGGCTCTTCTTCGCACGTAATCCCATGCAGACTTAACTGTAAAATGTCCCCTTGTTTCAAGCATCCAAAAAGGAGTATCTAACTGTGAACTTTCAGTTGGTGGTCTAATATTCTGCACAATGTGGCGCGCCAAATCTTCAGGTAGGCTCTCAAACATTTTATCCACATTCCACATACCATTTTCAACCATATCATTGACATTATGAATATCCTCATCGATACCAAACTCTGCAGTCACTTGAAAATATAAGGCTCCCATCTCAGTCCAATTGTTGAACCAAAATAGAGCTGATCCCATTCTAAGTTTCCAGTAGATTTGATGCTCAATCAAGTTCCTACATTCTAGCATTTTTCTCCACACGTGGGATCCCCTCTTCCAAGGTACAATTACTGCATTTAGTTTCTTGCAGTACTTTTGACTAATAAATGCACTCCACAAACTGGGCTTTGTCCTGAAATTCCACCACAATTTGCAGAATAGTGCCTTGGATACATCATATAGGGACCTGAAACCTATGCCTCCCTCCTCATAAGGCATACAAAGGTTAGTCCAAGACGCCCAATGTCTAGTGCTTCCTCCCACATTGCTACTCTAGAAAAACTTGGCAAAAATGCTGTGTAATTTGTTGATCACATAACTTGGAGGATTAACTGCTGACAACATATGAATTGGGATACTCTGCAGGACATTTGCGATCAACACAGCTCTGCCTCCTACAGATAGAAGTTTTCCTTTCCATGACTGCAGTTTGTCCATAACCTTGGTGATTAATCCCTGGTAATAGTCTCCCCTTTTTCATGCATAAAAAATAGGACAGCCGAGGTAGGTCATAGGGAAACCTTGTCTTTTTATGCCTGTAATCCTTTCCACCTTGTTAATCACCTCATTATCCATTAAGTGATGCAGGTATATGGCTGATTTTGCTTTGTTCACCAGTTTACCAGATGATGATTCATAGGCTTGCAAAACCTCCATGACAAGTCTTAATGAAGTTTTATCAGATGAGCAAAAAATGATTGTATCATCAGCGTATGAGAGATAATTTATTTTTGGGCTCCATTTTGGCATTCCAAATCCACAGAAATACAGGTTAGTGTGTAGTGAATTCAATTCCCGTGAAAGTGCTTCTGCTGCTAGAATGAATAGAGTTGGTGACAAAGGGTCACCCTGTTTAACTCCCCTCGATGATTTGAAGAAACCATTAGGCTGACCATTTATAAAAATAGAGTACCAATTGTTCCCAATCAAATCAAATATCAAGCCAATAAAAGCTTCCGGAAATCCCATTTTCCTTAGTATTTTGGTCAGGAATAGCCATGATAGCCTATCGTAAGCTTTTGTCATATCAAGCTTAATCACAACATTTGGACCTGCTTTTGTTCTCAACCTAATATCCTTAATGACTTCTTGAGTTAACAATACGTTCTCAACTATGCTTCTGCCCTTCACAAAACCTGTATGTTCCTCTGAGATTATGTTTGGTAATAATTCAACCAACCTCTCATGAATAACCCTGGAGAAAATCTTGTTAATAAAGTTGCTAAGACTGATTGGTCTCATGTCTGCAAAGGTCATGACTTCTTTTTTCTTTGGTAATAAAACCAGGTTTGTGTGCGTCACACTTTTTGGCAACTGCTGAATGTAAAAGAAAGCCTTGACCATGTGGACGACATCTTCTTCGATAATTTCCCAGCACGTTTGGTAAAAGGCTCCAGTGAATCCATCTGGTCCACCAGTTGAGTCCCCATTCAACCCCATAACTGCTCGTTTCACTTCTTCATTGGAAGGCAAGGCCATCAATCTTTCATGTTGATCACTATCTACCATTGAAGGTACATGATTTAGAATAACAAAATCATTTGGAACTACACTCTCAGTAAATTGATCCTTGTAGAACTTTATTGCTTCTTCTGCTATTAAGTGATCTTCTTCAATCCAGTTACCAAGGCTATTCTGGATCCTTGATAATTTCAGTCTCTTCCTTCTCCCATTAACTTGAGCATGGAAGAATTTAGTGTTTCTATCGCCATCTTTGAACCATAACATGCCAGTTTTTTGTCTCCAGAATTCTTCTTCTAATGCAAGATATTTAATCATTTCAGCTTGGACCTGTTGTAATCTTTGTCTATTCATCTGTGTAGGATTGACTTCAAATTGTATTTCATGAACCAAGACCACCTCCTCAAGGCTTGCAATCTTCTGGAATATATCCTCATATGTAGCTTTGCTCCAGGAAGATAGTGCTTGTTTAAGCTTCTTTAACTTGTAGTTAAAAATGCAGAAAGGGTTAGCACTAAAATCAGCATTCCAATTCTCCTTTACTACATCTTTGAGGGGTTCATGCTTTGTCTAGAAGTTAAGAAATCTGAATGACTTCTTAATTAGAGGAGTTTCTATATCACATTTCAGCAGCATTGGGCAATGATCAGACCCGATTTTGGATAGGTGAGTTAACTCCAATCCAGGAAAGGTCTGTTGCAATTCATTATTGCTAAAATATCTGTCCAATCTTTTAAAAATGCAGTCCTCCTCTGATCTTCCATTCCACCATGTAAATATGCTTCCTTTAAAACCCAAGTCTGTCAAGTTGCAGGTATTGATGCAGTGTTTGAAGTCATCTACTTCAATGAGAGAAACTGGCAAGCCCCCATAATTCTCTTCCTCATCCCATATCACATTAAAGTCTCCTCCAACTAGCCAAGGTACTATCATATCTGATGCCACTGCATACAAGATATCCCATAGTTCTATTCTTTCATTGCGATCACCTTTGGCATAAACTAGTGTAAGGATGAGCTCAAAATGTGTTTCAAAGTGCATTAATCTCAAAGTCAGTTGTTGAGTCATGTTATATAAAATAGTAACCTCAAAAATTTCATCAATAAAAGCCCAAATCTTGTTTGACACATTCACCACAGCCTGTGCCAAACCAATTCTTGCTCTATACCTCTCCATTTTGTGAGACTGTTGCATAGGCTCAAGGATTCCTATGAACTCAAAATGATGTTTTCTGTGCATTGTAATCAGCCTTTCAAATGCTTGCATTGTGTTTACTGACCTGACATTCCATATAATGGCATCCATTAAATGTTTTGGGATTTGGACAGTGTTCTCCTTGTTTGTACTCCATTAACTGGGACAGTAGAAATCTCTTTTGACTGTTTCTTTTTTCCCTTTGCTGCAGATTTTACTAGTTCAATAAGCCTTGGCGACAGATCTCCCTGCTTGGCAACATTAAGGAAATTTTGTGCAGTGGATTCCTCATCCATGTCTCCACCTTTAAGTTCTACGTCGTTAACTTGATCGTGTGCTTCTACTGCTTCTTTTGATGTAATAATATCCTCTACCTAGTTGATAAGTTCAGCATCTTTTGCAGCATGTGCATTGGTCAACAACATTGTATTGTTCAGTGGAACATTACTTCCTGCTACATCCTGCACGGTACTCAATGGAACAATACTTCTTGCATAAACCTACACTGTCATAGCTCGGTTCTTGTCTGCATTCTTGTCTTGTTTCTTGTCTGCATTTTCAGCTTCTTTCAAGACATTACTAACAGCATTATGTGAAGTCCCTCCTGGATCTATAATATTAATGTTCCCCTCTTTTGTCTTTTCTGTTGCTGCATTTGTGCATTCGCTGATGCTTTGAATATTGATTGCATTGGCATTACAATTAACACTTTGATCCTCATCTTCCACTTCATTTCCTCCAAATTCTTCATCACTATGCATTGTATCTGGAATCTGACCATCTGCTAGGTCTTCCTCTATTTGGTTGAGCCATAATCTCCCTCCTGCCCATTTTTCTTTTTCATTGGTCCTGAATTTCTTAAAATCTGTATCTTCAACAAATTCATTTTCTTTGTTGTTTGCTAATTGTTGTTCAACTTTGGTGTCCTGTGAAGAAATGTCTTGGCATGAAGTATTGACTTCAACTACATTATTTTTGAATGCTTTTTGGACCCAATTGGCAGTTGACTCATTGTGAAAATGCTGCGCATTCCCCAAATCTTTTTGTACACTATGAGATGTTGTTTCCCTATTTACTGCATGATTTTTTATTGTTGTAGGATTGAAAGTAGGTGCTGCAGGGTTCAGTTTCTTGGGTTGTGTCTTGGATGATTGTCTCCTAGATGAGCTATGAGAAGTTACCTTTTGTACTATTTGTCTAGTTAAAAAATCAAATTCCTGCTCCTCTGAATCACTCTCTACACCTGCTATGGAATTATTTTGCTGAATGTCATTGTCGCCGGTGGTTTTTTGAAATGGAGTTTCCTCCACAGCTGCCAGTTGGTTACCTTCATTGATCTCACCATTTTCAATTTCAAGCACTGCAAATTGGTTGGTTGTTTGTACCTGTTTTGCTGAGTTATTATCCACAACAACAATTTCTTTCCCAGCTGCACCATTACCCTCAATTTGGTTACCTTTGTTCTACCTTCTATTGTCCCTTACTTCCTTCCATTGAGGGTCTACCTTACCAACCACCTTGCCACTACTGAGAATCATAATAGGAGCATCTTGCTTCCCATCTTCCTTATTACCCTTACCAACAACTTTTTTATTTTTCTGTTGCTCGACAATTCTGTTTTCCATTATCTCCGGATGAATTCTCCAGCATTCAATCATGTCATTCCCTTGCAGTTTACACTCTTTACAAAACTTAGGTAAGTAGTCGTATCTAATCGTCACCCATTCAGTTCTCACCTCTTTTGTAACCTCATTCTCAATATCCATATGAACGTTCTTCGGCATGTCTGTTAATAAGTCAACTAACACTTTCACTCTTGCACAGCTTGGCCTTGTTTTATTGATAGTAGCCATATCGAGGTGTTGTGGTTCTCCTACAGCTGATGCTAAGGAAAAAGGCATTCTTTTACGAAATAAGTTGGCAAAAGATTTGGAAAAGAAATCCATGCCATCACTTTCAAAGTTTCCTCTCCAGGTTTAAATTTTGAATCATATATCAATGTTCTCAGTTGGTATTCTTGTCCAAAGTTATCCTTGATATAGTATACACTTTTCGACGCAAACTCGAAATAGTCCTGCCATAAAGTTAGTCGTATCAAAATGTGTCTATCCCGCAGATAACCAATGGTGCATTCTCCTCTAATTCCACACTGCATTGGTATGATTTTACGTAGTTCTTGCAAATCTGGCCAGCCATATGAAAACTTACACACGATGGCATATTGCAAACCTTCAATTATGTTCATGCGTTGAACTTCTGCCTCTGTAAACTTCACCATAGGTTGTCCTTGCAAGAAAGTTGCACGTCTAGGCATTATTGGCTCAACACTCGACGCAGCAGTTGATATCTTTTGCGCAGCAGCATTGATCGCATATGGTTTTAACACAGCAGCAAAATCCATGGGTTTCAAACTAGATGCTATGTTGTTAGGGAGTGCTTGGGAGGGCTGACCAGCCATTGTATGAGGCTGGTCGCCAGGCTTGGAAGCCATGAACGACTTCAACGTAACTGCTGTGTTACTTATTTGAAAAACCCAGATTCTGTCCACCTCAATTACATGAAAAATAGGCAGCAGCTTTGTCGATGCTACAGTAATTCAGAAACGTTTTAAGATCTTTTGCTTTTAGCTATATAATTGTGAATCACGAATGAAGCAAATCATCCAAAATATTCTTTAGCAGTCCCTTCGCTTCACGTTACAGCAGTAACGTTGATGCTTGCTATGGAACACTAGATTCTACAGTAACTTCGAACAACTTAAATCAAGATCTGTTGCGTTTGGTTAAAGAGTTTTGGATAAAATCAAAGGGAGATTGTTCACAAGGAGAAGGGGGTTCTTTTGAAACCAATCTTGTGATTTTATCTTGTCGGATGCTGGAATTATGGAAGATGAATAGTGACGGAATCACTATTCATGGTATCTCTTCTCTAATCTCCAAGGTGACTTTTTGGCTTTTTCATAGAGAAGTACTTAAATATGTAATCTGACTACTGATTTGAAATGTATTCCCTGCTCTCCAGGCGGGCTCCTGACTGCTGATTTGAAATGTATTCCCTGCTCTCTAGGCGGGCTCCTGACTGCTGATTTGAAATGTATTCCCTGCTCTCCAGGCGGGCTCCTGACTTCTGACTTGAATGTATTCCCTTCTCTCTAGGCGGGCTCCTGACTGCTGACTTGAAATGTATTCCCTGCTCTCCAGGCGGGTACCTGATTTCAACAAAATAGACAAAACAAAAAAAAAATTCTGCCACAGTTTGGTAGCTGGGCACATATGTGAGTGTTAAACTAAATCATATTACTAATAACTTAAAAGGTAGGTCCCATTATCCAGGGGGGTCCTGACAACTCTTAACTAAACGACAATTTTAAATCTAAGCTATATCTTTTAAAGGCATGAATTCCGCTAAATCTTTTTATCTAAGAAGGTCTTAAACTACTCCCCATTATCCAGGAGGGTCCTGATAACTCTTAACTAAACGACAATTTTAAATCTAAGTTATATCTTCTAAAGGTGTTACTTCCGTTAAATCTTGTTATGCAAGCCAGTTTTAAACTACGTCCCATTATCTAGGAGGGTCCTGAAAATCAAAAGTCAAATTTTATCTTAAGAGTGACAATTTCACGGCTAAATTATATTACCCTACAACAGAACTTACTCTAAACCTTGTTATCCAATGTAAATCCTAAAGCTAGGTCTCGTTATTCAGGAGGGTCCTGAAAACTCCGAATTGAATCCTATCTCAAACATGTAAACTTTGAAGCCTACTTATATTCCTTTGGGGCGCACTTATGCTAGATCTTGCTACTCATAATTGTTTTGAATTTTAAACTAAATCCCATCTTCCAGGAGGGTCCTGAAAACTTTAAATTAAATCTCATTATCCAGGCCGGTCCTGAGAGTTTACGGTCAAACCTGTCTGGTGCTTGCCTTTCCTTGCGGTGGGTTTCTCCGAAACAAATGAGATTTCCTGTCCCTGTTTCAAATCAAAGAAAAATCGTGTTAGTTTAAAAATATGGTAGTTGGTTTGTGGCCTTGACTTTGAGGGCAGTTGCTCCTTCACTTCTCATGATAACCGATTTCCACTCGAAGACCTTGCTTGTTCCTTGCCTAATCACTTTCTCTGTCATCCTTATCACAGAAAATACCTCTTCTCCGTTTAGACCCAATTCCCTTTATCTGTTGCATTGCTCATGAACTGACATTTACCAACCTTTGTGTTTCACCGAAAATACCTTTGATCCGTCCACCTAACACCCTCCATATGTTGCATCGTGCTCTTGTGTTGACATGAATTCCAAAGCATGTTAATTGCCATCCACTTAGTGCGCATGCTGTTCCTTCCTGACTTAAATCACTGGCCTTGGCCTTGAAGTCTATTATTCCCTCACTTATCAATATAACTTTCATTTCTGCTTGGAATACCTTGCTTGTCATTGGTTAAACACTTTCTTTGTTGATCTCATTACAGAGAATACCTTTAACCCGTTCACCCAACATCCTCTATCTGTTGCACTGTTCACGAATTAAAATATACCAAACCTTTGTATTTCTCATGGACTCCAAAGCATGTTGATTGCTACCAACTCAGTGCTCTTGTTGTTCTTTCATAACTTATGCCACTTTGATGTGCTGGCTAGATCCCGTTTTGTGCAATTGAAAAGCTGGTGGAAAATTTTGAAGTCATTTCTCATTTGTTTTAACCAAACGGACTCAGGAAGAAGAAGTAAACAAGACAAAAGGAACAGAGTAAAGGACAAAGGAAAGAGATGGTTCCTAATAAGAGAACTACAAAGTAGAAACCTATCAGATGTGGATACCAACTCTAATGACCATGACATGCACATGTTGATTAAGTGGCCTGCTCTATCAAACAAGTCTGATGTTCAACTCTTGTTATACCCCTGAACCGTGAAACTGGACTTCAATGCTCCGATTATCCAATCTGATTCACAATCCTTATTCGACCTATAGTGCCCGAAGGTTTTTCACCATCAAGCCTCTCTCCTTCTGTTCTTTCTCTCAACTTACCGCCGCCTTACGGTACCCGCGAGGGTTTTCCCCAATAAGACTCTCTCATTTTCATTATTTTGCTGCTTGGACCGGAGTGTT